TAAGGATATAGTCTATTTATCTCTAGATATAAGTAGGGCTATTATAGAATCCTATAATTATATAATTGAAGGTATACTATCCCTTCGCTATATTAATAGTAAAGAGCTAGTAAGACTTAGGATAGATATACTACTAATAGAAGAATATAGTTATATCGAGTATAATAATAAATTTAGTATTATTAACCTTTATTAGTATATTATCCTGATCCTTTATAGAGTATATATTAGAGAGTACTATTTTATTCAATAGATGAATATCTATGACTATATAACTATGTCTTTGATTATTAGGTAAATTTTTCTATATATAGAATATAAGGAACAAGACTAGTATTTATTGTTTAGTCTTAGAGATATAGTTATAGGCTTCTAATATATTGATAGTTTTAGAGATGATATTCTTATCTTACTAATTGAAGGGGTAAATGCGAGATTTCTTTAAGATAAAGTCTTACTAGTTATTATAGAGGGAAATTTTTATCTATTCGTTCTAAGGAATATTAGCGAAGCCTTTATCAAGAAATATATTAGTAAATTCGTTGAGCAAAGTATAAAACTCAGGTAGAGCTTTATAGTAGACGTTTATATTTATACTAGTATATTGAAGGTAATCGTTTTAAGCGTTAGGGATATAGTAAGGATTATTTTACGCTATAAATACTACTTTTAAAGCGTTAGTATTGCTAGCCTTAACTTAGAATATAGAATAAATAGGATCGATAGAATAGAGATAGCTAAGAAATATTCGCTAAGGTACTCTAATATATCGATCTAAATTATTATATAGAATAATATATTTAAGGTATATATTTGCAAATAGTATATATATACTATAATATAGGGACTAAGGATTAAAAATAAGATCTTAGTTATCATTAATATATAAGGTATAAGTTACTAGTATATAATAATATAAGCGAAGTACTACTATAATATTATTCTATAAATATACTCGAATATAATATACTATACTTTATAGCTTGAGTACGATAAGTATATAAGTACTATAGAATATAATAATAGTATACTATTGAGAGATAATAATATCGAACTTCTTAGGACTTATAATATCTATTCTGAGGAGTATATTTGCCTATAATTCTTTAATAATAGAAATTTCTCTAGTAATAGAAGTAATAACTAGGTATCTAGTAGTAATATCTAAGCTTAGAAATCTTATATTAAGGATAATATAGTCTAAGGATTAGTATATAATAGATCCTATACCCTATATAGTAATAGGAGTTATATAACGATAGATCTCAATAGTAGGGTAGTTTTAACTAATGAAATTTCTATCTACTATAGAATAATTATAATCTATATCGCTATAAATATCAATATTAGTATTATCTAGTAAATATAAGAAGAAATATAGATAAGACTATATATAGAAGCTAAACCTAGTATTAATATTAAAACTACTATCGATATTAGACTTAATGATAGGAATATTAACCTCTACTAGTTTAGTGACTATATTATCGGTTTTTAATTTTTTGACTAATTATATCTAGAGTTCGCTATATTAAATAGAGCTAACCTAGCCTAAGCTTCAATAGTAGAGGAGATATAGGTAGAATCTAAAATATTAGAGGAGGGATCAGATAGAATACTCGAACTATCTAAACCTATATTCTTACTATATACTCTAGGTTATACCTTCTTAATATAAATAGTATAAATATAATCTATAAGGTAGTTATTACTAGAGAAACTCTTTAGGTAGTATTAGTACTATGCAGAATATATTATCGCTATTGTGAAATAGGTTATATCTAGCTATAGAATAATAGGATTTAAGACCTTAAAGGGGGGAGCTTTAGGGTCCTTAGATTCGAAGATTTAGCTATATTCTAATAAGCTCTAAGGATCCTTATCCTTAATATAGGCTTAAAATAAGCTATATTCTTTATATAGCTACTAGTTATCCTACTATATAAAATCTAGTAAATCTAGATCCTAGAAGTCTATATAGTATACTACCTATAGGCAAGGGTAGACTTAATCTTAGCTAATAAATATAGGTACTAGGAGCTAATGATTCTCAGGTACTAGTACTAGGCTTTATTACTTAGGGATATCTAGATTTTAGGTCTACTAGTACTATATAGGCATAGATTTTCCTTAGGCTTATATAGCTAGCTATTACTCTCAAGGGTACTAGGGTCTATCGAAACCTTAATACTAGATGAGACTAGCCTAGTTAGAATATTAAGGCTAAGGTAGCCTAGAACTAGGGTACTATATATTAGTAATATTTAGGTACTATATAGGTATAGATAATAGTAGAGCAAAATTTTACTAAACTTATAGCTATAGATTTACTAGGGAATTTAGAGCCTAGAATTATCTTTATAGGAGCTAAAGAGCGAGGAGTTAGCCCCTAGGCGAGTATATCGAGTAAGTATTCTAGTACTTATAAATTAAGCTATTAAAGATAAGCTCCCTATCTCGAAGCTATATAAGGAAGGATTCTAGAGTAGTAGTAGAATTTAGAGTCGAGAGCTAAGCTTAGATCTTAGTACTAAACTTATTAAAGACGAATATAAGCTAAGCTTAGAGTAGTATATTAAGAATACTAGAGTATTAGATTATAATCTAGATAAATAAGGTTAAGTTCTATCTATAAGCAAAGTTATCTAATATAAAGGATATAGCTTCTAATACTTTAAGAGCTAAGGACTAGGAAACTTAGAACCTATCGATGAGTTTTTTATAGATTAGGTCGACTAAAGTAGTTCTAAGTATTTCTCTATTAGTTAGAGTAAGTTTATAAGAATACTAGACTAAAGTATCCTCGAGTAGATATTAAGTCTATATAGATTTGATAACATCTATTCTATGAGTATTCTTAAGATCTTTGAGGTACTTAGTAAAATAGTATATATTATAGTACTTAGTGATTTTACTATTAGAGAAGATACTACTACTAGTAATAGTATATCTTAGGTAGAAGTAGCTAATATCTATAGCTTAGATTATCTATAAGGTAGTAGAGCTATTAGTATATAGTTAGAGAGCTTAGTTGAAAATAGTCTAGAGGTCCTTATAGTATTAGCGATAAGTTTAATCGAGGGTAGCTATAATAAGTATAGTAGTATCTTTAGTAGTAAGTAGAGCTATATTTAATTAGTATATCTTAGTATAGTTACTATTATCAACTAAGGATCCTAGTAATATACTTTATAGAGCTACTAAGTCCTTAGAAGTTATAGATTACTCTATTTTATCTATAGACTTAGTCTATAGGGAGTCTATCTAAGTTATAGTACTAAGCTACTATAGAGGTAAGTCTATCTAAGTTATAATATTATATTATTAGTATCTATAGTACTATATCCTCTTATCGAAGTAAAAGGGCAAGTATATCTAAGTCCTCTGAAATATATATATAGGGTTTTAATATATTAGAGAAGGTAGTAATATAGGAGTAGATAGTACTTATATACTTATAGATGAAGTAGGAGCTATAAGTAGCTATAATAATTACTTAGTATATAATAATATAGAAATAGAATAAGACTATAGCCTTGACTATAAGTTAGTATCTAGTATCAAAGTTATCGCTATAGATACTAATAATAGTAATAGTAATAAGGAACTAGCTAATGAAGTTTCTTAGGAAGATAGGGAATTAGAAAGCTTTTGCTAATATATAAGGAATATAGTGATTACCTTTAGCTTTATAGTCTAATTTAGTAGCTATACTTCTTAGTCTATTGAATCAGTATTTTCGAGAAATAATAGCTATAATTGATAAGCCTTTGCGAGGTTATTATCGGTGATCTTAGCTATATATAAACTCTATGACTATACTTTGAAACGAAGGAGTTAGCGAGCTCGTAATTGAATTTGTTCGAGGTTCTTTAAGTCTATATAGAATAGTAACGATCATACGTACGAATAGTAGATAGGTTAGCGATATAATAGCGCGACTATAGTCGTCTAGCGTATACGTAATGCAGCGATAGTACTAGGGTTCGATTCAATCGAGTATCTGAGCTAAATTATAATGAATAGCATTGACGATTATTTCCTTATTCTAGTTAGTATTATTGCTAAGTTCTATCTAAGAATAGTGCGAGGAAAGGCTGAGATCTAAGGGCTAACGGCCTAGGGTAGCTCGTGCGTTGGGGCTAACGGAGGCCCTGATATCTACCCTTCCCGAGCTAAGAGGCTGTGGCGGGAGTACAGGGGAAGAGGCCATTGGACAGGCTGCTGCTCTATAAGCTGGCCGTTGGGGAGCTCGGGACGACAAAACGTCCCTGTACATATGTAGGAATTGTCGGACCTGGTACATGTACTAGGCGGATTAAAGTTCTATCTAATTATCGTCTACTTCATCTCAGGCGGATGTATGGATAGTATTTGAGGATAACTAACCAGTAATCATTGAATTCCCACTAGGAACTGGGGCAGCATATGCATTTACCTGTCTGTACTTAGTCATTGAGGTGCATACTGTAGGCCCGAGGTACTTCGCGGGTGGTGCCCACAGGTGTGCCATAGGACCATGATACTAAGGATGTGAAAATCAACAAGACTCTGGTAGATTGTAAGTTTACGCAGACAGCAAACGTCTGTCTTTGTGTAACCTGGGCATATTCGAGAAATAATAGTGTTGCTGGCGAAGATAGAGAATATACCAAAAGAAGTACCGGCCTCTCGTATGTCATGGAGGGGTTTCCACGGACGGCGAGGCGCCAAAGGTAAACCTTAAGTCAAGAACAAATGGAACATTGCACAGTTGATGGTTCATAATCAACTGGTCGGGCTAGGGTGGAACGCCGTTTATGATACCTCTCAATACTTAGTGTGCACAACTGGTACCGTAGGGTAGTAGTGCAGCCCGGGGGTACCCAACCGCTGAAGTGTGTACTCCATACACCAAACTAACCACAACACCCTGAACCCTACACCTAGTCTGTGAATATTCATAGACGGCGAGATAGGACCAAAGAATAAGAAAAAAGAGCAAAAACGGCAAAAAGAACGGGCCTGACCGGGATTTGAACCCGGGGCCTCCTGCAGTGTGAGTTGTTAGACCCAAAGCAGGAATCATACGACTAGACCATCAGGCCGTTTTGGATGTTAGACTCGTGCTAACTTGTTCTATATATTACCCAGTCAAAACAAACTCCTACAAGTGGGGGTTCCGGCTCGGATCCCGTAACTCACCCGCTCACATGCACCATATGATTTAATGCAGCATAAGACCGGCGGGTGGTCGAGTGGTTACGTGGCCTACTGCGCGCCAGCGGGTTCAGAAGCGATACGAAACCTTCTACAACACCTAGGTAGTGTCCACTCTCGCTGCCGTGTTGCGTTGATAGGTTGAGTTTCTTTCATCCGTAGCAGATCCTCCGCTTTCCACAAAATGCGGGGGCTAGCGGAGCCGTAGATTAACAATCTATTCGAGGCACCGGGACCGGAGATGCGCAGATCTCAACCAGAAGTTTCGAGACTCGCAGCGTAGCAACACATTAGTCCTGTAGGTACGCTCTGTATGTACACGAATCCACAATATGTCAACACAAAATGCCTGTATGCTTGCAGATGATGCCACGTCAAAATATCTCCATTATGTGGATTCGACCTCGCTGATCTACACAGGCTACTATTTCGGGCGTACACTACGGCCGATCATATGGGTTCGTTCCATACCTTTCGAGGTCATTCGATGTCGTAGTCTGGGTAGTGTGGACAACCATTTGCTGCCACCTCAACAATCGCCCGTCCTCAACCTCGTATCTCGTCCCGTGGTGTTTGCACCGCATCAAGGTTCCAAAATCATTGGTTTGAGTGACTCTGAGTACCAAATCTGGAATCACGCCTTTCTCCAGACGCGTCACCATTCATACTCCTTTGCCACCTCGATGCCACAGCCGTTGTCAATTCCAGAAAGATCCTTGGTCCATTCGTAGACTTCACCACGCTCATGAAAGGCTTCCTGGTCCCAGTTGATGGCTCGCAGCGCCTCTTGAACCCCGACCTTGAGTATGCTTTCTGATGTGATGGTCTTCTTGGTCCCGCAGATGAAGCGGAGGTTCTGTTCCCAACACCCTGGATCAGCGAAGGGGTCAATGACGATATCAAGCCTCACCGCGACTCACCTCCAGGAGCAGATAGCTCTCAGCCATAACCCTGTTGGACTCGGGTACGAAACCAGATAGTCCCTCGTGCCTCCTGCAGAACGTCTCAAACTCCCAAATTCTCAATCTCGAACTTGCGTACATCCCTCAGTGTCTGGTCAGTGTCATTCTCACCCTCAACCTTCAGCACCTGGAAGCATACCCAGCGAAATGGCTTAAGCTCGGCGAACCGCTGGGTCATGTCCTCGTTGAGGTTGTACCGACACACCACAGTATTGAGCTTGAACTTGGTGCCGAACCTGCGGCACCAGTCCCCGATGAGAATCAGCTACGTCACGTTGTCGCCGCTGCCCCGGCCGATCGTGATGTTGATCTCCTCGTTGAACGACTAACATGATATGGCTAGGATGTCAAGATACTTTCGGAGCCAACGCTCCTTGATTAGATTTCCGTTGCTGACGATGGAGACACTTTCGACCTCAGTATCTGCTTGGCGGATTGCTAGAGGTCTCCTGGTGTCCAAATCAGCCATAATATTATTCTCCCCGTGGGGTTATCGATAGCCTACCTCGGTTGCCAAGGGTGGTCACATAGCAAGAAACTTAGGGGTTAGGACATCTGGAACGGCTCGCCACCCGCGAAGTTGAGCTTCCTTGTGCCAGCCTTCCTGAGCAATGTAAGAGCTTGCTTGACATCTTCCAGTGGCGCCTCATGATGTCTTAGCGGTGTGGAAGCAAAAGCCACAGACCTTGTTACATCGTCTGGTGTAGTGACAACTGACTGATATCGGGGCCGGGGTGGCAGTAAGGCGTCGATACACCGCGTGTAGTAGTGCAACTACGCAGAAGAGCATAGCTGTACCACCCTCCAGGTACATGGATGAGGAAGAGCCATCATAGAGTGACATGATTTCGGTATGTCTAACGGAAAAATTGTTGATGGCAGTGAGCGAGTTCCTGGCAATGGAAATCTTGTGTACAAAAAGGCAAAGTATGACTGGTCACGGTTGGTATATATGAACGCGAACGCTTCTCGCCTTTCATATTGCTTCTAATTGTAGATTCTTCCTGTTACTTATGTTTAGGCAATAGTTCACTGAGTATGAACATGCCTCATGTTTTACACAATCACGCCCAATGCCATATTGGGGTGGATGCGTCAATATACCTGTAATTGCCAGGTCTTATGCGCCTGGAGAGTCAGATCATGAAGCGGGATGTGGCAGATCAAGCTCTGCCATTCCATAACTCAATCTCGGACATGGGCTATATGAGAACGGCCGTAAGATCAAGATTCCGCAATATCGTATATGCTAGAGGCCTACCGTTGATTATGCCACTCCGTCCTTGGCATGCGTATTGCATGGATGCTTGCTCAAGCCGCCAAAGGTAGGCAAGTTGTCAACCCTCGGGGATTCATCTACAGTACTCGAAAGATTGGGGTCACCTTGGTAGAAGGTAAATCAAGCGCAGCGGAAAGAGCCTTGCATTCGTCAACAAAGTCTGCCGCAAACATCATTTAGACAACAAATAGGTATAACACAGCGGAAAGCGAACAGCAGAAAGATTTCTGAGGCGTTGCCGAGCAACATTGTGCTCTAAAAAATACCTTTTTCTTTGTTCCCAAACCTAGTAACTGGATAAATCGCCTCATGCAAAGTTGGGTAAGTAAGTATTCAGCTCAAATGCGGCGTCGTTTGTAACTACTGGTTAATGTAATACACACTGTCAATGCCCGAAGTAAAGTGAAAACTCTTTGGCTGATCTTACTATTTGTTTATCCTAAGTACATATGTACTTATTAGGCAGTGAACATTTCATGTTGCCGGCATACTAGCTTCCGAAGGGTTCACCACCCAGACCTTGTATCTGATTTAGTGTACCGTTACACAGCTTCGCGAAAACAACCACCTTCGGCGAGCTGCGAACAATATCAACAAAACAAAGTTACTAGAGGGCTTGCGAAAATGGCGTCCTCGGCCTCGTCACGTCGCCTGATTGGCAGCCACCTCCTAGTCTCACGTCGAGCGGTCACTCAAGCATACTTGCCTATCGTGGGCCAGCAAACCGGCCGTCGTAATTCAGCGCCCAGCCGCGCCCAGCCATGGACCCCTAAGTCCCCTCAGAAGACCTTTTCATCGTCGATCCTAGAGATCGAGCGCAAGTTTGAACCCACGAAAGCCTCTATGCAACAGCTAGCCAACAACACCGGCACCCCGCCCTTCGAGTCGCTGGTCCACCAAGGCACAGCCCACCTCGAGGACGTCTATTACGACACCGCGGATGAGCTGCTCTGCAGCGCGGGCGTTTGGCTGCGCCGTCGTGGTGACAAGTGGGAGGCCAAGGTTCGCGTGGGAGGTGACTTTACCAACTCAGCATTCGAGGAGATCACCAACGTCAACGACATCTCAAAGATGCTTGGCAAGCTGGTCCCTGGTGCAGCACTTGACTCACATCACGGACCACTGGGAGGACGAGTGCAGGAGGTGGCAAAACTTGTCTCTGAGCGGAACACATTCCTCGTGGACGAAAAGTTCACCGTGGTGCTGGACGAAACGGACTTCGGCCATGTGGTTGGGGAGGTGGAGTTGGAGAGGGAGGTCCTTGCCACTGGAGAGGACGATGCCACTGGAGCGAAGGGTGAAAGCCGGGAGAGAGCAAAGTTGACTGCGGACATGGACCGAGAGATCGAAGACTTCATGAAGAGCCATGCCTGGGCATTTCCTCCTGGGAAACCGGTGGGCAAGCTATCTGCTTACTTCGCCCTCAAAAAGCGACAGTGATCTCGGGAGCCCTACTCACTCATATGGAGGATGAACTGACCATGATATGAGAAAGGCGAAAGCTGTCAGTCTCTTCGATGAGAGCAAGCAGAATGAGAATATCGCGCACCGTCTAACCTTTTGGTGCTACGCCGACAAAAGCTTGTCTCCCAAGGCCAGTTTCGATAAAACTTGCCATGCGTTCTTAGACGAGATATCAGGTTGAGACATACACAAAGTTAACTACATTAAACCTGGTAGGATGCTCAGGTTGCTGTCAACAGCTCAACAAATACAAATAACGCCAGACGTCCGATAACCCTTGCCCCATACCATGTGAGGTGTGCATGTTATGCACCCGGCAACCGATGACCTGTACGCCGTGATACATGCAAAAACGCATTCATACACACAGGCAACAACAGCCTCACTCATCACTTGCCCCCAGACATACCCATCCGTATCCTCTCCCTCGCCGCGTCTACCACCTCACGGCTTATTTGCACAGCACTCCCATCTTCTTGCCTTGGCATCACCTCTTCTGAGGCTTGCCCTGAAGCGTCTCCTTCTCCGGCCCGGACAACCTCCCACCTCTTTAGCGGCCCGCTCATACCCACCCATAAGTCCGTGGGTATATAGTCCCCTACCTCAGCCCTGAACGTTTCCCGGTCCTTCCAGTCCGACTCTACCAGTTTGTCTACCTGCTCCTTGGCCTTCCTCCATATCCCCTGGATCTTCTCCTCCACCGCCCTCCTCCTCTCGACCTCGAGTATGAGACTGTCGTAGGCGCTCCCGTAGCCTTCGTAGAACTCCCCAAGGATCTCCATCTCTTCAAGCCGTGCAAAGATGCTCTGCTTCTCGGCGCCCCACCGCTCGAGGAACTCGGTCTCCGCTGCTATGTAACCAGTAAGCCGGGAGCCGATCTCCTCAAGCACCTGAAACGCCTGCGTAACAGCTACATATGCCGATTTGGTCCGGTCCGTCTGTTCCTTCAGCTGTGCAAAATCTACTTCCATCTGCTGCATTTCTGCGTTGAGATCGGCGACGACCTCATCGACCTCGTGTGCATCCTGCACAACCACCTGTACCACCTCTACCTTCTCTTCTGGCTCGAGCTCTGATACGTTGGACTCTTGCTCGGCTATAACACCCGATATGGACACAGGATCAGCAGAGGTAGTATCTTCTGCTGCCTTCCGTCTAGCCAGGGCCGCGCCGCCTTCGGTGA